GAAGAAGACTCTTTTTATAGGACCCCACGAGTCTAACCGTTATGTTATGGAAATTCTCAAGCGGTACTACTGCTTGAGGAAGCGGTACTATCGCTAAATATCAGTGGGTAACAGAAATCCTCATTGTAGTATGCGCGACATAACAGCGGAAGTACCGCACAAGCGGTAGTACCACTTAGGTATATGTGGTACTACCACTTAAGGTATAAGCAGTACTATCACTTAAGGTACCAGTGAGTTGCACATGCTTTGCACGTGAGTTGTGATATATCATTACATGCATGAAGACCAAGATACAAATTCGTTTTTAGTGATAGCTAAACCCATTGTATAAGGAAAACCTTAGGTGCATTGTGCTCCAATGCGTGTATATAACACATCATACTGTGGACCTTAAGAGTTAAATTTCATGATTATGCAAAGATAGTGTTGTAGCATTTGGTTGAAATTCTTTGAAAAGATATATGGACTTTAAGAAATGGTTGATCACAAGTCTTTCACCTTGAGTAAAAATTCATAAGTAATCTCATAAATGGATGCACGTTTATTCAAGCGATACAACTCTAATGGAGCTAGAACATGCATGGAAAATTCTAGAATAAATCACAGATCAATAGACTTTTATTCAAGTGTGAATGCGTGGAAGATTCTAGATAATTTAGAAGTGTGTAACGAGAGTATGATAGTATATGTGACAAATACAAGGGTGTACTAAGTTTTTAATTATAGAATAGTACACATGGCAAAATCTGATGTAATGGATAGGAAATCGAATGGTCTGCAATGCTCAGATTTGCTACCTCTTGACCGTCGGATTGCGTTCAACCAACGTTCCATACTCAAACTTATTCACGCACTATATAGTGGTATAGGTAAGCGATACTACCACTAATTGTCGGTGGGGAACAGAGTACCCTATGGTAGTACACACGACACAACAACGGAAGTACTGCACAAGTGGTACTACCCCTTAAGGTATAAGCGGCACTACCTCTTAATGTAGCAGCAGAGCCAGAACATCCATAACTTCTGCAAATGAACTCCAAAATCAGCAAACTCAAGCTTGTTGGATAGATGATGACAAGCACTATCCAACAACGAATGGATATATTAAGAATTAGCAATGGAGAAGAAATGTCAATAGGAGAAAGAAGATAAACTTCCCCAAATATGAACTAGCAAAATGTCCAACATTGAAAACGCAAAGATGATGCATACGAGCTCCGTTTTTGATGAGTTTGAGTTTGACAAGAAGATGAACCAAAACTCTAAAAGCTCACATAAAGAAAAAACAAATAAGAAACAATAAAGATTATGCCAAGGATGTAATCTTTTGATATCTATACGAACGATACAATCAAGCTACTCGCTCGAGAGTCCCCCCTTGATAGTATGACAATCAACCCTATAACCCGATCTTCCAACTAACACCATAAGACTAGTAAAATTAAAAATATCAAGGACAAACATTTGCCTTGCGCATAATCCCCTTGAGCTAGATGATGATGGGCATGCCCGTCTTAAGTTAGGACACCTTTCTTGTTAGCGCGCGCTTGGTGAAGACTCGCAATTTGCTCCCCCATACTCCACTATGGGAGAGCCACTTTTAGGCACATCTTCACAAGACATGGTCGGCAAGCTTGAAGCATGCGATCTCTTTGTGATGCTCCTCTTGAACTTGCACACCGCAACCTTGACGATGATCACCACTTGATGTCATCCTCCATGGGTTATATGAGATATTTCTTTTGATGCAAACCCATAGAACAATACCTAACGCTACTTAGAAACCTCACATAGATCATGAGTTAGTACGTAAAGTGTAATGGAGAAACCTCACATAGATCATGGGAGAGCCACTCTTAGGTACATCATTTACACTTTGTGTGTTGATCAACTTGAATCCACTCTCAGCTTTCAGTCTTGATCAACCTTGTATCTTATCTTCACTCTTCATAAAGATGATGTCTGGAAGGTAAACATGAATGTTTACACAATCTTCTTCTTCAAGACATGCTTGCAATAGGCTCAACTCTTACATGACCAATATTTCAAATAACTCCTTGAATGGCTCCTTGGTTAACACATAATCTCCTTCTTATAACCTTGAAACCAACATACGGTCTTCAAGAAATGCTTATGGACAAACCTTAAAGTATAACTCAAAGCAACCATTAGTCCATAGGGACTGTCATCAATTACCAAAACCAAACACGGGGGCACCATGCTCTTCCATAAAGGTCGAGAGGTTAATAAACAAGATCAACACGCGAGAGGCAAGAATTGTGTCCATGGATGCATTTAGGATGTACGAGAACTATGAGCCTATGGGAGCTCACTCGTGTTGTGAGGCACACACTTCGTGGAGGTAGTGGGACTGGACATTCGAGAAGGGGGGGGGGGGTGCACTTTGTTCAATATTACTGTGTTGGGATGATCTACGTTATGATGAACTATTTTGGATGATATTATGCATATCTTGGTTGAATTCTTGCGCAAATGTGACTGGAATTTAAATCATTAGATTTGAAAATAATGGTTTTAAAATATTGTTGAAATGTGTGTGGCCCAATCATCAAAATTGAATTAACATGGAAAAAATATTGAGGGCTAAGTTGGAATCTTCCGGTTCACAACCTTTCCCTACTTAAATTCTTCTTATGAAGGCTTATAATAAGTGGCTTTTAGGAGTTAAATTTATGGTTTTATTTTAAAAGGAGCATAAATCCATGGGATGATGCACACACATATTTTTTTTTATTCAAAACAATGCCAAGTAAAGCCAGGCATTAGTGTTGAACAAACAAACCTACGAAAAATATCAAAAAGAAAAGGAAATTTCGATGCCATCCACATAGGACATACCTCACAACAACATGTGTAAAATCCTACAACCACAAATCCTATGACCGTGAGTCAATCCACTAGTCGAGTGACATGTGAACTGACAAAGGGTGCAAACACTCCAAAGAAAAATGCCTTCAAAATTAAATCATTGCTCACACACTAAAATTGTCTGGTCCAACCGCATGTTAGGCCAGAGCGATCATTCCCAAAGCGATCTTTGAACCAACACCCCAAACTGCAAAGACACATATACATCGACATTGACCGATCAGGCTAGACCGATCAATTCTCACTTAAAGATGACACAACTGCGATGTCAACGACGTAATCGTCATCCACCACTCTACGTCTCTACTGTCCTACCGACACATATAAATAGACGACCAAAGGAGAAATCGTCGGAAGTAAAGACGCCGTTGCATCGCTTTGGATCACTGGCTTACTTTCATCTCGGTGATGGTTGTCGTGCGAGCTACGATAGCACCACAACAACCGCCTTCCATAAGCGCCCCCTCCCCCAAGGGTTCACTAGCAGCAGCGAGGGAGAGGGGTACTGATGCTTCACACAACATCCCCGCCACACCGAGCCAACACTCGTGCCTCATGCCACATCCACATGATCTGACAGGCCTCCCCATCACCGTAATGCACCAGCCCGTGCATTGACGCCGCATCCGATCCACATGCAAGGGTGTCGGATCTAGGCAGACCGACCACCACCGCCGCTCTCAACGCCCGGCAGGCGCCCACCGTGGAAACAAGATTGGGAGCCCCGACACCTTCGGTACGGAGCCGCCGCCACCGTTGCAAAGACCGGCGGTAGCGCCGACGAGAAGATGGTGGCAGAGGAGGACAAACTGGGGCGGCCCTAGGGCAGGTAACAATCAGACAAGATCTGCAAGAGATGCTGCTACTTGCCCCAAGTCTCTCTTCCCGCCCAGTGGGATGCCAGCAGTCCAGCACTTTGTTCGTGTGTCCCGTTCTCTACGGACCTCCACCTGGCTGCCGCTGTCGCTTCCACCGGCCAACATCACGACGACCTCGACGTGCCATGCCATGAGTACATCACAGATGGTGCTCTCTCCTCACCAGCAACGAGTTGACAAAAGGCCACGCCCAGCCTGGCGTAGTATCCTGCCGTACTCAACGGATTCAAAATGACCACTCGCGATCTTCTTAATTGAGCGATCGGAACGGAGAAACACCAATCAATCAACCAAAACAATAAAGGCGCAGTATATCAAGCGAAGGAAGAGACCAAACCGGACCGAGCCTCTGCCCGTGCGCCGGCCTGCCCCGCTGTCCTACTCTACTCTACGTGGGGATGGAGATACGGAGGGACCATGAATACGCCTCGCTCGCGAAATGGCGTATTTCGAAAGTTAATCGGAGGTTTAATTAGTAATCCATCTCTCACCGCTCCCCATTCTCTCTCTCCCTCTAGTCGCCTCCCACCTCGCCCCCCGTTGTGTCCCTCCCCTCCTGCCTTCTCGCTCCGCCCTCCAATCCCCTACACGGCAGGCGAGGCGAGGCCAGGCCAGCTCCCCCGCATCCCCGCCCGCCGCGCGAGAATCCCGAGGAGGGATCGGAGGACGGCCGCCTGCCCCTCCGCCAGCCAGCCACCCGGACTCGCCGCTCCCTCCCTCCCTCCCTCCCAGGTGAGCGACGCCGACGCCGACACCCCTTCCCCTCGGCCCGAGCTCCGGCGAATGCTCCTAACGCTCCTTCCGCGTGCCGTGGTTTCTCCCCTCCCCTCCCCTCCGCTTTCTAGTACGAGTTTCGGATTTCTCTCCGTTTTTTCCACGCGTTTTTTTCGCTCTCTTCGTTTCGTGTTGCTGTTCTTCCCTGACGGTGGATGAATTCGCTGGGTAATCACGCGTGGCGCGGAATGCGGCTCGCCGGATTCCAGGAAAAATAATTGGCGGCACGGATTTCCTCGTCGATTTTTTGGATTTATTTATTATTGATCTTATTTCGCTCGCGAGATCACGGCCTGATCCCTTCCCCCCGCAATTCGCAGGTCGAATTCGCCCCGACGGCGTAGGAATCCCCGCAGGAATTCGCCCGAGATTTGATCGGGAGGAGACTCCAATGCTGCCCCTCGCGTAGCCGGAACCGGACCCCGCGCGTCAACAGGGCAGCAGGCCGCCGAGATGGCCCGTGCGCGGAAGCGCGACCGCCTGCGATGGAGCAAGCTCTACACCTTCTCCTGCTTCCACCAGCCCCACACCGACGAGGCCGCCGGCCCCGCCGCCGTCAGCGGCAGCCCCGTCGGCGGCCCGGGCTTCTCGCGCATCGTGCACTGCAACAACTCCATCCTCCACCGCCGGAAGCCGCTCAAGTACCCCACCAACTACATCTCCACCACCAAGTACAACGTCCTCACCTTCCTCCCCAAGGCCATCTTCGAGCAGTTCCGCCGCGTCGCCAACCTCTACTTCCTCCTTACCGCCATCCTCTCGCTCACCCCGGTCTGCCCCTTCTCCCCCGTCAGCATGATCGCCCCCTTGGCCTTTGTGGTCGGGCTCAGTATGATCAAGGAGGCCCTGGAGGACTGGCGAAGGTTCATGCAGGACATGAAGGTGAACAACCGCAAGGTCAGCGTGCACAAGGGTGACGGTGAATTTGAGTTCCGACATTGGGAGGACCTTTGTGTTGGTGATGTGGTCAAGGTTGAGAAGGACCAGTTCTTCCCGGCTGATTTGTTGCTCTTGTCGTCGAGCTATGAGGATGGCATTTGCTACGTTGAGACAATGAACCTGGATGGTGAGACAAACCTGAAGCTGAAAAGGTCACTGGAGGTTACGCTGCCATTGGAAGAGGATGAGACGTTTAAGGATTTCCAGGGAGTGATAAGGTGTGAAGACCCAAACGCGAGCTTGTACACATTCATTGGTAACTTAGACTATGAGAGGCAGGTGTATGCCGTCGATCCGTCTCAGATACTTCTCAGGGACTCAAAGCTGAGGAACACGGCCTTCATCTATGGAGTAGTCATTTTTACAGGGCACGATAGTAAGGTGATGCAGAATTCAACCGAGTCGCCATCAAAGAGGAGCAGGATTGAGAAGAAGATGGATTTGATCATATATATTTTGTTCACTGTTCTGGTTTTAATATCGCTCATCAGTTCGATTGGTTTTGCTGTGAGGATCAAGCTTGATCTGCCCAGATGGTGGTACTTGCAGCCTCAGAACTCCAACAAATTGGACGATCCAACACGCCCTGCTCTTTCTGGGATTTTCCATCTCATTACAGCACTCATTCTCTACGGGTATTTGATTCCGATCTCGCTATATGTCTCAATTGAAGTTGTGAAGGTGGCACAAGCACATTTCATTAACCAGGACATTCATATGTTTGATGAGGAGACTGGCAATACTGCTCAGGCCCGAACGTCAAACTTGAATGAGGAGCTTGGCCAAGTTCATACGATTTTGTCAGATAAAACTGGCACTTTGACCTGTAATCAGATGGATTTCTTGAAGTGTTCAATTGCTGGGGTTTCTTATGGTGTGCGTGCGAGTGAAGTTGAAAGGGCTGCTGCAAAGCAGATGGCATCAGGCGCTGCTGACCAAGATATTCCTGTGCAAGATGTATGGGAGAGTAATGAGGATGAAATCCAGTTAGTGGAAGGAGTTACCTTCAGCGTGGGAAAGACCCAAAAATCCTCGATAAAAGGCTTTAGTTTTGAGGATGACCGTCTTATGCAAGGGCACTGGACCAATGAACCAAATTCCAACATGCTTCTTATGTTCTTCCGGATACTTGCTATTTGTCACACTGCAATCCCTGAGGTGAATGAGGCAACAGGTGCTCTTACTTATGAAGCAGAATCACCTGACGAGGGGGCTTTTCTTGTGGCAGCCAGAGAATTTGGATTTGAATTTTTCAAGAGAACACAAGCGAGTGTCTTCATCAAAGAGAAATACACTTCCTCTAATGGCACAACTGAGAGGTATATGTATTTCAAATTACTGTTGTCCTTAGCTTTTCTATCTTCAGCTGAGAGTATTTGGCTTTCTGATCGCTATTTATTCATGTTTCTTCATCTTCGGTTGGGATTTCTTAGGGAGTTCAAGATTCTCAATTTATTGGAGTTCAACAGCAAAAGAAAGCGAATGACGGTAATTATGAGGGATGAAGATAACCGTATTGTTCTTCTTTGCAAAGGAGCAGATACGTAAGATTCTATACCAAATAGTTTTTGTTTTCTGATGCTTATGTTATTACATCACCATGTGATGTCATCTGTGTTACAGTCTGCTACTTTATCGATCATAGACTAAAAAGATGAAAATAAGAAATGCTGCCAAAAGAGTAGCGTGTACACTCACACTCTGCTGCTTTGTTGATCATAAACTAAAAAGATGAAAAATAAAAAGTGCCACCAAAAGAGTAGCGTGTATGCTTGATTTCCGATTAGGTATTCTCCACACGGGCTGCTCATGCTTTAATCTGACTATCTTATGTTGTTTTTATCCAACCGAGCAGCATTATATTTGATAGACTAGCAAAAAATGGAAGGTTGTATGAGCCAGATACAACCAAGCATCTCAATGAATATGGTGAGGCAGGCTTGCGGACGTTAGCGCTATCATACAGAATGCTTGAGGAATCAGAATATGAATCTTGGAATGCCGAGTTTCTTAAAGCAAAGACATCCATTGGGCCTGATAGGGAATTGCAACTTGAGCGAGTCGCAGATTTGATTGAGAAGGAGCTGATCCTTGTTGGTGCAACAGCGGTTGAGGACAAACTACAAACAGGGGTAATAATGATCTGTTGATTTTTGAGTTGTTATGTTGCTGATCCTGCTATCACGCTAGTAGCTGTTTTGACTTGTTATGTTTCTTCTCATATTGTATCAGGTTCCTCAGTGCATTGATCGCTTGGCGCAAGCAGGTCTCAAAATCTGGGTTCTGACAGGCGATAAGATGGAAACTGCAATTAACATAGGGTAAGCTCTTTCCTATAAGAGTTACTCTTAACAGTAATATTTGTAATCCTACGTGTGACAATGCGTCTTTCTTCTGAACATTTTGTTCATTTCTTCTTTGCAGATACGCATGCAGTTTACTTAGGCAAGGCATGAAACAGATATCCTTGTCCACAACCGCTGGTGACCAAGTAGCCCAGGATGCACAAAAGGTACCTTTGCACAGCATTTTCTCATATACTCCCTCCGTTCCTAAATATAAGTCTTTTTAGAGATTCCAATGTGGACTACATACGGAGCAAAATGATTGAATCTACACTCTAAAATATGTCTATATACATCCGTATGTAGTCCTTATTGAAATCTCTAAAGAGACTTATATTTAGGAACGGAAGGAGTACTATAGATGGATTTAGTCTATATGGCAGTCATCTTTGCTTTGCATTCGTCTTTGGAACCTGAGCAGGCTGCGAAAGAGAGTCTTATGTTGCAAATCGCCAATGCTTCACAAATGGTAAAGCTAGAGAAGGATCCTGACGCAGCATTTGCTCTTGTTATTGATGGAAAAGCTCTTACATTTGCTTTGGAAGATGACATGAAGAATATGTTCTTGAATCTAGCAGTAGAGTGTGCTTCTGTCATATGTTGCCGTGTGTCTCCAAGACAGAAAGCACTGGTAACCTCATCTATCGCCAATCCATGATCTGGGTTTTATACATAAGCCAATGCTGAGTTTGCTCGTTTTCGTGTTGCAGGTGACCCGACTGGTCAAAGAAGGCCTTGGAAAAACTACTTTAGCAGTAGGTGATGGTGCAAATGATGTGGGCATGATTCAAGAAGCTGATATTGGTGTTGGTATTAGTGGGGTCGAAGGCATGCAGGTCTGTCTAGATTATTACTATTCTCTTGGTAACTAGTGCATTGCGAGGAGATGTATTAATAGTTTAATTGTAAATGACGATGGCTTCTTTCTTTTGTCCAGGCTGTGATGGCGAGTGACTTTTCTATTTCCCAATTTCGGTTCCTTGAGCGACTTCTTGTTGTACATGGCCATTGGTGCTACAAGAGAATTGCCCAAATGGTGCCACTCAAAACGCTTCATTTGTTTTGTTACATTCTGTTGAACTATATTGTTTCGCATATGTGGTATAATGTTTTCTGAGTCCTCTTCCATTGAATTGCAGATCTGCTACTTCTTTTACAAGAATATTACCTTTGGACTTACAATATTTTACTTCGAGGCATTCGCTGGATTTTCTGGGCAATCAGTCTATGATGATTGGTTTATGCTGCTTTTCAACGTTGTTCTTACCTCTCTACCTGTTATATCACTTGGAGTATTTGAGCAAGATGTTTCTGCTGAAATCTGCTTGCAGGTATGTGACAGAATATTCGACTTACTTAAGCCTGTGACATATATGGCTTATATGAAAAATAAACATGCTCGGAAAGGGAACACCATAAAGTGGACTTCTGGGATGTTGTAATGGTGCGTTGCATTTTGTTATGC